ATAAGATTGTTGAAACTTTCAGAAGATCTTGTTAAAATATACTTTTCTCGATGCATCTTTTAACTATAGTTAGACGTTACAGATATAGCTGAAAAAGATTTCAGCAAACAATTATATTTGTTGATTATTGTTGCATGAAGTTCGAAGGTTATCCAATTTTGATTGAAAACTTTATTATCCTTATTCGTTTTTCTTTCTAATTTTTGACCACTCAACCAACTAGTATGTCATAGGTTCTAGAGCCGCTTCATCTATCAAGGTTTGGGTGGTCAGGTAGTATCATTAGCTCTCACACAATAGGTGTGATCCATTGCCTACTTCATGAATCCGTACAAGGTTGTTCAATGTTCTCTTCTTCTTCTTCTCAGGAAATAAAGTAAAGCATTTTTCTATCAACACTTTTCTGGACTTTCTAAATCAATAAACTTGTTGATTAATGTTGTTACATTTTATACCTCATGTTGCCCGCTAGTTTTACAGAGGCTTGGCCTAATTTCTCTTGTTTTTCCAGTAAACATTAAAACGGAACTCAGTTGATTAAGACGTTAGTTTGTAATTTGGATTTGGTATTGTCTACAGGAGGCTTTAAAGTTACGTTTATACTGACAAAGTGAAATTTAGAGGGAACCCCGTTACCATTTGATGTTGTAACTCCTTTCATTTAGCACAATAATAGTAGATGTCAGTTTTAGGTCAAATTTTGGATAAAAGACCTATTCCAATACTAGGATGGATCCTAACTGATATGTAAGAACCTCCTAATGGACATCATTTCTATCAGAGTTACACGTAAACCTTGTTATTGAGTGCCAACACGCGTAAAACCCTAAGTCCAGGGCTTCCTATCGATCATCTTCAACCATCCAACACCAATCAAAATACACCGTGATGCTGAGTCTCCTAGCTTGGTGATCGTATTACAAATCATAAATAAAATTCGGTTGCAACTTATGATTAGACAAAATGAAATTGGTTATTGCTTTACAAATATACCGTAGACTATATACCTTTTAAGCTCATCCACTTCCTGTTTCAGTATAGTATTTTGTTGTTGCATGTATTCTTGATCTCGAAATAGTGTTTGTTGAGATTGTGTAAGAGAGTAATTATGTGATCTGCGAATATAAAGTAGCTGATATTAGGATTTGATGCATGAATAACGGGAAAATTGATCATGTAGTGAAATTGCTAAGGGTTCCGTTTAATTATTGTTTATACCAAAAACCTTGGTAGATCTTATTCCAATATACATAATTTAACGCTTGCCTAATGCATTGAGTGGTGGATTTTTAGTCAAGTGACATTATGAAGAAAGAGAATTGTCAAGACAGTTCATTATTTTAAAAGTTGTTTCCAATTTCACTTTACCTTACTAGGTTGAATAGCTCGATCTTTGTTGGAAGATGAGTTCCTATGCGGTTGCCTTGATGCTACTCAGACATTAATCATATTGTGGCTAGCAGTGGAATCTGCGACGCGAATTTCTCACCATTTGGGACTTATCAACGTGATATACCTGCATCCCGGTGAGAGATATTACTCCCACTGTGACTTGAGCCCAGCACCCCTCGCTTCAAACGACAATGAATTGTTCACTGGGTCACTGGGAAATAAGAGTCACCACTTGTACAACAAGTATCAGACTACAATATAATCAATAATTGGACAGTATCGAGGCTTCCCATTTGCCAACAAAGGTCGGCTAATTCATCCCAGAACAGCAGCCAAATTTTTACTCACCCCCGATCATTACCCAGTATAAATACTAGTCTGCCGAACCACATCTATCTCAGATAGTCAAAATGATAATCATAGTATTTACTATGAGGCTTCATTATATTCCTGCCCTTAATCAACAGATATCCACTTCATATAATCATTATACGAATAAGCGTAATTCCCAGCGGTTTAACATTGTCTGAGCTTCGACATTTTATCATGGACGTTTTATTATCAGGCTTGATGAAATCTTCAAAAAAGCCTCGTGAAGTAAGGCATATTCAAATGCTACATGAATATTTAGTGGGTATTTCTGCTGGCCATGAATACCTTTCAGTGGTAAGCTTGGGAAGAGATTTTTATCATACCCTGATCTCTTTAACCTGACATTTCACCTGAAAACCCTAGAAGAGAGTCGCCTTCAGACTGAAAGTGTACTATTTGTTACTGCCATTCATATTATGCTTCGTTTTTAGTTTGTTCCGTTAGTTTGCACTTGACTGATAGATTGCTGTTTTTTTCCAAGTTGATTGTAGTAGATCGAGTTTGTACACATGTGTATATTGGTTGACTATTTGTTGTATGCCAGGCTTCTAGGAATTTTTAGCAAATTTCTAAGTCTTTCTTCGTAGGATTTTCATTTTCTTGAGTCAGATTTGTGATTGAGATTATCTGCAGACACTGTAACTAAGGCGGTTTTATTTTATTATGTCCTTTTATTATAAGTGTAGGTAAATTCATTAAATAATTCAATAGTTTTACTGATCAACACAGTATTGCAAGTGACTTGGTTAATTATATTGATCCTTTTTTTATTAGGCAACAGATCTTCCGATGTGGATTTTCAGGTTGAAAAGACAAAACTATCCGTTGTGTAACACAGAAAATATAGGCTCACGTTGCGGAAACGTTTTTGGATGATGACTATTTAATAGTTTTGGGATTCAGAGAGAATTAATTTTCCTGTCTATGGAAATAACTTCGTAATCCCTTGTTTTGCCAAGCTTTTGTTAAGGTAGTTATAAGTTTCAGCATGCTATTGATCACGGACCGATATGGGTGGGTGAACTAGTCAGAACCCGGGAGCACTGGACATCTGTTTCATCTTATTATTGCACTCCTTAGCAGTGCGCACCCGCGATCCAACCTGGGATCAAATCCAGAACCTTCAGGTTCCTCGGCTAGTGCGTTAATATCGAGCCACACTTTCGGAATTCAATCAAATTCAAATTTTTCTACTTCTGTTAGTTCATGACATAGTGAGGCCTTTATTCGATGCTGTCGCTGATTATTTGTAATCGCATAGGACTTGGTCTTCTTCACTAGTCACGACTTCTCATTTGAACTTTGGGAAGTCTGATCTTGAGGAAATTTGCTAGTGAACAGTAGAAATCAATTCAATTCGGAGGTTTGTCGGACTGAAGACGAAACGACGTTCCAATGCTTCAAGTTTTCTAAAGGTTCCCCAGCTGATGTCACTTCGTGACGAATGCAAACTTGAAATCAATAGATCCCCACAAACCTCCAAAATAAATCATAAGTATACCAAGAGCTGTAGCTTTAAACAAAACAAAAACCTATCAACATTCATCACTGTTTTGATTAACACTTTTCTGCTTTCGGTTTTTGCGTCTACGTTAATTTATGAATATCAGGACGAATGAAATTCACCGCGAAGCCTTAACCTATGTAAGTGGAACAGGGAGTGATTTGAGCTCATCTGACTGAAAAGGTTACTGCTTATCATATTTGACAGGTAGCGACAAAAAGGCAACCAATATGGAAATTGTGTTCAAATCATGATTTATGCATGTACTGACGTGATACCTGATTATACAACTCGAAATCATACAACCAATCGAATCGGCTTATTTATGGCTTCATTTTCTGAGGGTTTTGTATATATATATATATATATATATATATATATATATATATATATATATATATATATATATATATATATATATATATATATATATATATATATACCATATATTTGTCAAATAAAGTTGTTGCTGTTCTTGCAGTCACAGGCCGTCTATTGTCTTCTGGTTTTCGCGGCTCAGTTAGGTATAAGATGTGGGGGAGAACAGTCGTATTACTTCTATCCAGTTCAAGTAACTCGTTGCGTTATTACTCGTTTCGCGTATTACTAGAGCCCACATCATACTGAAACTTCAGACATATCAATATTCTAATTATTTTCTGTTCCTGATGGAATTAAACATTTTATGTGATTAGTGCTCACGTAAGTTCCTCTTTATATCAATTATAAGCAGTTACAAGTAAATATGTTATCATATTAAAAGCCTTAGTACTTTGATGTCAGACTGATTACACTGGATACTTCTCGGTGAGTCAACTTCAACAAAATCCTTATATCTACCGCGCATATCTGATGCAAACCACTTTAGCAAGAAAATATTGAAGCCGACTGGAGAATTTGCATCTCTCTAGAAACTTGTTTTCAGACATTAGGTACTAATGTAATGGGTGCTACTTATGAGAACAAATGTAAATAATATTTGGTATCAATAACAATAAATCGCTATCTATACAAAGCTTCAAACTTCTCAATCCCAGTATGACTTCTAGTATGTCTGATAGGCTATTGAATCCCGTGACCAGCCCCAGCCCAACAATCGCTCACAACACCTTCCCATAAAGCACCTCTATTCTAACGCATGTCACCTTCACAATGATGTTGAGCAAAGACCACCTTCACTTCCAGCATTAGAACGCTCAACAGCTTTGTGATGACCTAAAAATCATTCTGAAAGGTCTTCAAATCGCTATGCTCTAATCCCTGTGACAAAATATTACCCCTTTGGATTGAACGCAGTTTGTGCAAATATTATCTGGATTTTACTCTTGACATAAATTGTTCTTCAGTTTCTGTTGTTGTCTCATTTGTCTTTGTATGCTTTTCCAGCATTTCTCGTTTCTATCTTTGTAAAAAAATACCGATTAATTATTGAATCCGGTTATTTTTCTCAATGATACTGTAGTATACACTAGTCACATTTGTTTACAAAAGTAGCATTCATGTCAACAAAACATCAAAAGTGGCTTTCATAGCGTAATAGTTGGAACGGATAACATCAAATCTATTCAGTACTTAAAATATTTGATGAATAATAGGTTAGTATGTAGTTTCTGAGTAAAAGGAAGAAGGGTAAAATTTTCGTTACCTTTAACACGATAACGTTCCTGCCGTTTTCCTGCCAGTTGTATTACATTAAAATGGAGGATACAGAATTTCAACGTGACTGACTTACTTTAAAGCTTCATTTTCAGCTCTATATTGGTCTAATAGAGCGTTCAATCTGGCGTGCCATGCAAATGTTGATTCATTCATTCTTTCATTATTTCTTTCAATGCAATGTCTTTCATTATCTGCAAAAAAATTGGAATCCAGTGTAAGTAGGGAAAATGAATTCATTAATTTTCATATTCATCAGTTAGCATAGCAAAAGTAAGAATAGGAGCATGTAATATCCGAATAGTGTTTGAAGCTAGCTGGTTGGCAAGGCTGCCCACATTACCAAAGAGATGAGAAGATATGGCATAGAAGTGCCAGGATAGGAATCTGCGAAAGCAGATCAAATGGAAGTAGACTCTCCAAACTGTCAACTGGAGAGTCAATAATTTACTTCGGTCACCCAGACGACAACCACGAACACACTGAGTTTTAGAGTGGCTATAATGATGTTCCCAAGAGAATTCAAGGCTCTTATGCAGTGGGAACCAATCTCCTCCTGCAGGATCATGACAGGAAGGTTCAACTCAAAAGGAAGGAAAGTCACAATCATACAATGCCACGCTATGCACCCACAAATAATGCAGATCAACAGGAGAAGGAGGAATTCTACAGACAACTGCAATCAACACTGGACAAGACCCCACTCCAATTGGCGATAACAAAATTCTCATGGGTGGGGTGAGATGAATGGCAAACTGGGAGCGGACAACACAGGAAGAGAACTAACCATGTGTCGAGAGGCACTCAGTGAAATGAATCAGAATGGAGAACTGTTTGCAGAATTCTGTGCATTCAGCGATTTGGTGATTGGAGTCAGGCACTGTGTTCAAGCACAAGGATATCCACAAAGCGAGAGACATGGACTCCACCAGACACCAAACACAATAAAAATCAGATCGACTTTATTTCAATCTCAAGAAAGTGGAGACGCAGCCAGCCTACTTGACACTAGGTCAAGAAGAGGAGCAGATGTAAGTTGACACCACTCACTATCTAGTGCAAGGAATCTACCTTCAAAATCAAGTTGAGAGCCTTCGAAGAAGTTGATGAGAGATCACAATTCAAGTTCTACACCTAGAAAAGAAACTGAAGGACGAAATTAGAAAGGACATCTTCACCTCAGTCAGGTATCAGGGAAAAATTGAAGATATTAGGCAACATCCGTGAAGAAACCTGAGTTGATGAACACTGGAACTATTTGAAAGAGATGTGGAAGGAAACCTGCATAATGGTGTTAGGAAGGAAGAAGACAAAGACAAGATAAGATAAGACAAGGAATCGATCTGGATGGACACCTGTAAACTGATAGAGGAGGGGGAGGAAAGTGGTGAAGCAGGAGATGAACCAGTGCAGGGATGAACAACGAAAAGAGGAACTGATTACAACCTATAAAACACTATGCTGGACAAAGAAGTGAAGAAGAGTGATCGAAACGACAAAAGACACTTCTACGACTCATTGGCAAGTGAAGTAGAGCAGCCTGCAAATGGGAGAGATAGGAAGAAGGAATAAGAAAATATGACACTTAAAGCGATCTTCCTGATTGTGGTGGACTGGAATGGATCATGCAACAAACTGTGAGGAGCGAGAAGATGAACAAACGCTGCTTGACCGATGGAAAGACCCTGGAAGATTTGGATTTCGCCGATGATATCTAATGTCACACAAACTCGTAGATCTACATGCGAGAACTAGAAAGTTAGGAGAAGAGGTAGGATAGCGAAGGCAGAAATTCCTTCAGGTGAACATAGAGAAGACAGTGGTGATGAAAATACCCAACCAACAACGACAACATGTGCCAATCAACATCAAGTGAAGAAATCTAAAGAAGGCTTTCTCTTTCACCTACCCACCTACCTACCTACCTACACAGGTAGTATCGTTTCAACTACAAGCGGCGGCACAGACACAGATGAGGATGTCAAAGCAGCCGCAATGGGAAAAGCCGCAAGACAGGCCTTCCTTCATTAATCTAAAATCAAAGTGGAGATCTACTGCGCTGCAATCAGCATAAGGAACAAGTTCTGGATCTCTAACACTAATGTCAGTCAAGTTGGTGCTTCCTTGTGATAATTGAGAGACTTGGTGCATTACGAAAAGCATTTCCAGCAAACTACAGACGTAAATAACATCAACAGCTGTCGCCTACGCTCACTCGATATTAAAGATCAGATTAGCTGGCCAGAATAATAAGAATAAGCAGGGAGGAACTCTGGCCTGGCAACGAACCAACCGACCAAGAACCTATCATCCAACAAATATGCAGAAGAAGAAGGTGGAGATGGATTGGGTAGGATTGAACATACACTGAGAAGACCATTTGGGGACACCAAGCACCACGTCCTCAGGTGGAACCCAAATGGAAAAAGACGAGTTGAGCGTCCGAGGGTGACAGAGAGAAGATCGTGTGAGGGCAGTCGCGGAGCCAGTTTAAGAAGACTGGAAAGAAGAGAGTGAAATGGCGACGTGCCAGTGAAGCCGTATGCTCCACTAGGAACCCAAGGGACAAATAAATATTGATAAATAATAATGACAGATAGTATGATATTGCTTGTATTATCGCGTCATCGACTGGATCGTATTGATCGGTCTCTATTGGCGTATGAGCTTCTGCGACGCAAGTATCCCCACTTGACAAGTCCCAGATAGGACGAAACACGCTTCCTGGATTTCACTGCTAGCTACTATTCATCGCTGACATCAGTGTGATAGATAGTGGCTAGAACTGGAATCCAGGACACGCATTTCGTCTTAGTTGGGAATCATCAGATGTATGTACTTGCCTCCCAGTGCGTAGTATTGTTGTCATTGGGAAATAAATCCAGCACTCATTGCTTTGAATATTAAAGTTCCCTCCATTAGACTATTTGGGTACGATAGCCCCACTGTGTGTGATATGTATGATTTTATTTTATAGCTTTTAATTCGCCATCCATATTTGACCAAAATGATCGACCATTATTATCTTATCAGCCCGTGTGCGGTTGCCTGAACACTGCCGGTAATTTCATGTTCATTGTTATGATAAATATTGGCTATCACTGGAATCCACGACGCACGTTTCCCTTTATGCGAAATAACTGCCATATAAAGCCACACACACAGGAACTCACATGCTGGTTGGGTTTAGTCAATTTGGTCCAATCAAAGAAGGGAAACTGCAAGCTGCAACATATTATATTTTATATCGCATGGAATGTGGAATGTGATCGGTAAAGCCATGATGGGTTAGTTAGTAATCTCTTGATAGAAAGCTATAGAAGACAAAGTAACAGGATCGACGCTATTTGCAAACCGGTCCATAAAAAAGTATTTTCTACCAAATGATGAGGTAACTGGTTGGTTTCTAAAGAATCTACACGGAAATTAGAAGTTGCCTAGGTGAGCAGCTAACCTAGTCTGAGGTAGGATATTTTAACTCGAAAGTGAGTTTTCGATTATGTAACTACTTTGAAGTACTTTGAAAGGTCAGTAGGAATTTACAAACCTGATTAGTAAAACTTTTCTGTGATGCCAAGGAAAGCTTCATTTCTTCCAAAGGCTGAAGTTCATGTTACTCAGTACTATGGTTCGGCAAAGCAGTACTTTCTTCAAGTCTTCAGATAAATCCTATTGATAAGTGCGAATCACAATCTTACACTTACAGCTACTGCCTACATATCATTCTAATGCTGAATTTGGTAATATGAAGATATAAAAAATCATTGTACGATGTATGAACAGGCAAGGTTTGAGGCGATTACTTATTCAAAAGGAATGTGACACTGGGATTGTAAGAAAATCAACTCTACATTTTCAACTTGTCATTATTAGGATGACTCATTCGCACATGAAAATGTGAGGGAAAAGAAAAGATAGTAATCAAGGAAGACAGTAATACGCTTTAGTTTGCTAAAAGCTAAGGGAGGAAAAAAACTTGAACATTTTTCTTGTAAATACAAAGTTCAAGTTTGATTAGTCCAAGCCAGTACTCAAACTGTTTCGTTAGCTGTCAATTTCTTCGGACATTAATACCAGCAAGTTTTATGTTGGCCACTACTGATAACCTAAGTCGGTGCTTATACGTATGCTATCATTTTACAGGGAATCAAGATTCGAGGTTTGATAATTAGGTTTTCAGATGAAACTTGCCAGCTTACATAAACACTGACTTCGTATAGTAATGAAGCAAATATCTACAGTGTTTTGCTCTACCAAACAGTACTAGATATAGACCAGTGACCAGTTATTCTATTCGAAGGAGAATACATCGAGTAAAATAATCAAAAAGTGCTGTCACGAATGACTTCAAATGCTGTCAGCAGACCACCAAAATTCATCTGACGGCTGCTTATTGTCACATAGATGTTAAGTTGTTTGATTGAGGCCATCCATTCAAAGAAAAACTTGAAAATCAGACTGCTCAAATTATCGAAATTAAAGCAGGCGGTGAAGGAGAAGGAGGAAGTGACGTGAATAAAACAGGAAGTTTGTAAAAACCATAAAAACTGTCGAATGATTAAAGGGTTTGTCACCAGTAAATTGGAAATCAATCAGGTAGTCAAGTAATACAATCCAAATAAAACTGATTGATATAATGAGAGCTTACTAATCCACAGAGGGAGATCTTTAGTTCACCAACACCTACATTTCATTCTATTGTAGATACTGCATTTAACTTGGAATACATGAAACAGGTGTTTCATTAAAACCAATAGTTGTACTATTGGGAACGTCTTTAGTCAACTTGTTGAGAGAATTACTCAGAAAAAACAAAAACAAATAGGTAATAAAGATAGACACTTAGTTAATCTGATAAGCGAATTCCTACACAAAATAAGGGAAATGAAAATGAAAAGGCTTTCTCCAACTTCACTTGAATTTTACCCAAGCCACTCAAATCTAGTTAATAGAGATAAGACAGGTTATTTCTAAGGAACGACATAATCTGTCATATTGTATGAAAAGTATTTGACAAAACTGGTGAAATTGATTGGTTTCTATGTCATATATTGCACAAACCAATTAATGGGGCACACAGGAGATGACTGCTATCAGAGTTTATCTGTGAAGCCCAAACACAGAGTCTTGAATCGATCATCATTCTTTCTATTAAACTGAAATCTTGCATTCGATACACTGATGAAACTTGTGTAGTTTTCAGAGTGAGTCAACTAAAAAGGATTCCAAACCTGCATTGCCTGATCACCGGAGGGTAACCGATTTTATGTATAGCCCTGAGTGCTGATCGAACTCCACCACCAGGCCAGTTGACCTAACATTGAGATACACTGGGACAGATGTTACTGGATGGAGGCAGTCGACAAGAAGTCCTACGAGACCTAGGTTCCATACTTCTGGCACTCTTCAGCAAAGCGTATCTGTAACCTCTAAGAAACTGATGCCCCTTCTGAGACTGAAACCTGAGTCACACATTGCTTCAGTCATATACTTTATCACTGAGGTATTTGGGCAGTCAGTGACCTCCGGTGAGACTTGATTAGATACACTGACTGATCACTGAAGTGTGTCTAATTCTGTTTTGTCTAGTCCACTGACTCTCAAGGAAATAGTTTCAGCAAAACTCATCTATCACAGTCATCCTGAATATTTTTATTGATCAGTGGGATATTCGGAACTATAACGAAGTTGCTTTATCAAGTTACATTTTAATTTCAAGATAAGATAAATCACTGCATGTAACACAGGTGTTTATCTTATATAAAATCAGAGAATTCTCGGACGATACTGTATGAACAGCGTTGTTGTAGTTCATTACCAGAAGTGAGCTTTATTTAGAGTTTTATGCAGTCTGTACTTTATGACTTATTGTATCATTACCAACCGCTTACCTCTAGAATACAAATCAACTAAATATTTGATGTACTCAAATTTGAAAGAACCACACTAACTGGAATTTGAAGTTATTGTCCGTTGATACTTGTAATTCTGCTTTGTTTTACTAGATCGAATTGACAGAACTCTGTTGGTAAATAGGTTTCTATGTAGCTGTCGTGCCTTAATGGCATTTGAAGCAATGGGTTAAGGGGTTTGAGTCTCTTTGAGACACGTAAATCATTGTGATACAGGTACATCCATGTGACAGGTCCCAAATAGGACGAAACGAGAGCGCTGGATTCCATCACCCATCGTAACTAAATTAATTATTACAATATTGATATAGTACCTGTAGAATTCAAGCGACAATCCAATATATATTCAGTGAAATTTAGTTTCTTTTCACTCACATATCACGACTTCGTTCAAGAAAATATAAAATTCACTAATAAACATAGAGATTATCTGTGAGTTGAGAATACTTACAACAAGAAACACGTATAGCGCTTACTTTTACAGTTTGTATACACTTCTAATTGTGCATGTAAACTTCTATTTTCTTCCTTTAATTCACTGACTTGTTCACGTAGACTATCTAGGATCTGATAAGAAAATAAATTAGGAAACTGTGGTTAAAGTTGAACTGAAGCATAATTATTTATAGGGGTGATCATGGAAGCTGGGAACAAACCATCTGGATCGCAGCTAGTTATAAACCAGAGCCCTTCGGATCCCTGGCCTACTGCCCTACTCACTAGGAGATATCGGAGAACGAGCAGGTGTGTTTCTGTCACACACGTAATATACAGCTGTAATAGTTAGTCGGTGAAGTAAAGTTGAAACCTGGTTAACAGTCAATTTCTGGAGATCATTTAGTAGATTGCATGGTTGATTTTGAAGGATATTCGTCTATATTCATTATTCTACTCATTATTAAGTTAGGTCACTCGTCTATTTCAAAGCGTTTAATACAAATATAGTTTGAGATGTTATGGCTTGGAATTGCTCGTCGTTGTTTGGCCAGAAATGGTCAGACACCATCCATATATAGGCTGCTGTGCCCGTGCTTCAATATTGCCATTATTTTCAGCTAGATATTATGAGTGGATAGTGGCTAACAGTGGAATTCAAGACGAGTGCTCCATCTTGTTTGGGACTCATCGATTGGATCCACCTGTCTTTCAACAAGTGATGTTGTTCTCACTAAGACTGGAACCCAAGGCCAAGCTTTTTAACCACCAGAGTGCTATCCTGTAGGCAAATGAGTCACGGATGGACTCTTCGTGTGACCAGTATAGCATAGTTTGGATGTTATCGTTGTGAATAAACTGTTCTTAGAGTTGAGGTCTGCGGGTTTTCAGCTGATAGGAACCCAGTCGAATGATAACTAGGATCAAGAAGTTACTGCAAGAATTTCCATATCGTGCTTCAATTTCTTTAAGTAGTGTGATCATTGTCCTAGTTTTTCACCCTTATCATGCTACTTTTAAAGTCATTACCTATTATGCTCAAATTAAAATAAGATACCATCTTATGTCTACTGATTTAATCAAGAAGCGCCTAATTTACTCCAGCGGCCAAACCTACTCATGATAACCTCATACACCTATACTCGGTTTACTTTACCAACGAATAGGTGAAATCAAAAAGCTTGGGTAGATAGATGACTGTTGGATTTCATATCACATGCTCCTTGGAACCTAAATTGCACCTGAAGGTTATTTTCCCCTTTTCTTTAGATGATCCAAGACACTCGATGGTGATAAGATTGATAGTGACTTGTGACGTAAACTTACCTCCACATTTTTTCTCGAGTATATGGATGAAAGTAGGGATTATTTCCTAACTGGTTGGATGTTTATAATTAGGAATGGATTTTAATGGCATGCTGGAAAGTCGAAAGATTTATCACGTTTCACAACTGATTGTTATACTCGAAAAATTTATGTAAATTTCGTAGATTTCCTTAACAGCACAAACATACGTAAGTAGGCACATACAACTGTTGTTTAAAAAGACAGTAATTTCTTTTTACGTCACTGGTGGCCGAGACATCATTGACAGGTAGTTTAGTATGTTTTTCAGCTAATTGGTTTGTGAGGGTAATGACTGACTTGAAGGCAGCTTCAATCATGGAAATCAATGAAAGTCCCGGATCACAAAGAAAACGTTACAACCTTTGTCATTACGTTTGCGAAAGAGCACAGAAGCTTAAAATATTTTATTGAAGGCATTCCCTCCGGGTTGGAATCTAACTAGTTAGAGGTTATAGCTTCATTCAATTCCAAATACGATAAAACTAACATCCGCTGATTAATGGTTTTGTTTTGTTTTTTCCTTTTCTGTTTTACTCCGTCTAGTAGAAGTGTTCCTTATAACAGTCTACGGAAATAATTTTTCTACAAGCTCTTACGTAATACGTGGTCATTAGAAATGAGCTTGGTTCAGAGATTCAGGTATAGTTGTTTGCTTCTTTTGCGGAACCTTTCAGAATAGTCATAATCTCTTGGTTATTCAGGTATTTCACATCAAGAAATACAATTGTACTCGCTCATTTTACCATGTGTTATTGTATGAAAAGCATGCATTGCTGAGCAGTATGCTTCGAAACCCAAAGTCTCCTATCAGTGCACTTAACTTTTCAGTTGACAAATGTTTTGATCACCAGTTTCTCTTATTTACCAGTTTTACGTGCAACTTGTCAAAAATTTGTACCATTCTGCTAAATATTTATTGGTCTCGTTACATACTGCTTTCATTTGCCCTAAATTTAAGTTTAGGTCACCTTTTGTGCGAGTTACCACTAGAAATACAACTATTTGGAATCTTTGAAAAGTTTATCCGGTTCATGACACTTTTCCGATCGGTAGAATTCGATCAGCACTCATGATTAAACAACACGAAATCGGTTACTCTCCAGTGACCAGTCATTAAATCTAATCCCATTCTACAGCTCGAATAACCCAGTGGTAACATCACTGACTACAACACTGGATGACTTAGGTCTGAATGTCAGAAGGGGCATCAGTTTGCCTGCGGTTGCAGATAGGCCTTACTGACAAGTAACAGAAAGCACTAAACCTGGGTCTAGCAGGGCTTTCCGTCGATTGGCTCCAACCAAACAAGTTTAATTCTTGCTTGTCAATAATTTTACTTCTCATTTTCAACCTATGATATGTATTTTACTTCTTAAATGGACACCGTTTATTTATTCACTGGATACTTCACAAAACTAATAAAAAATGACCATCTATTCATTGTAAACTGATCATTTCATTTAAGCAACGACTTAGAATTTGTTTAATTTTCAAAGATTTCCAAGTTAAATAAAGTTTTCAGACGTCTATATTGCTTATGGTTGGCTTGGAAGTAATATCTCAAACTATCTGTCGTATCTTGAGATTACGAGACATGCGTATTACTATTACCTTTCAGGATGGTAAGCTTAATTTGCTTAGGTGGTCAAGCATTCATTGGCATAGGCTTCAGAGACATTTCCTTCTCATGTTTCTTATGTTTGTTGTCACAGTGGTTTCCCCCTTTATATATTTTGATTTTGATTTTCTAGGTCTTCATGAGTTCCCCGGGTCAACCAGACGTCACCGACGATAAGGTTGGCTTCTTATTAAGTGCATACACGTGGAAATGGTGCATAAAAGGGGTCATCCATTCCCGCTAGCGAAGACTCCACAGTCCCGAGTATCCACCAGCGCCCCTTTAGCATAGACGGCAGCGAGTCCACATCCTGAACTAACTCGCTGAGACCAGCCATATCTCACACTCATCATACTCCTCACACCATGGTTGGACCGCGACACCCAGGCACTTCATCCCTTACTGATTGCTTGGTTACTAGACAGTTGAACAGGCTCAGAAGTCCGTTGACGATTGCTTCCGAAGACCTATTCCCCAGCTAAGAGTGATGATACAATCCTCATCGATTTACATGGTCCATATCGGCTGCTAGTGCAGTCATCAGGGTGATATTAACGGTCATCTATATTACGAACGTTTGGCACAAGTGTAAACTTTCTGTGAGTTCGGGATAGATAACGTTTCACGTAGAATTATCATTAGCTGATAAACTTTTCTGATGATTGCATTGAGCTTTTGTCAGTGAAGAACATTTCTGAGATGGTGTTCCACTGTGACTTCTTGTTGCTCGCTATGATTCTGTCTTACTTCTTGATTCTCATTAGTTTTCTTATGGAGCTGAAGATCAATGACTTTTAGTTCAGTCCAAAGTTTCCTCTTAATAAGGAGTACAGAAGCCTTAAAAAGGTTTGATGAGTTTGGTTTTAAAGAATTTGTGAATTTTACTTTCATCTGTATCCTATGTGATTCTCAGCTGACTGAAGTGTCACACATTCAAGTGTATTGTTGGTTATTTCCTTCTTCTATGTTCACACTTGACCTATCATAGCATTTTCAGTTCTCATTGATAGTGATGTATGGGAATGATTTTGCATTGTGACTGGTATGTTGATGCTTCGTAATCAGTGGATCAGAAGACTGAACTCCGTTCCACCTACCAAGGCTCATACAATCGGACATTATCGTAAGCCATGGGTCAGTAGTTTTCTTTGTCATGATTGAAATAACTAATTATGTAGAACAACTTTATCGCTCAGTTGTTACACGTAATTTACTCATAAAACGGTTACGATAAATGGAAATGGATAAACAGGTCTCGCGATAACCTTGAAAGTAAATACTCTCTGATCCCATGAAGCATATGTTGGCAAGTGCTGAAATGAAGGACAGTGAAGAGACTAGCGTTTATCTATTTCATATAATGACAATTGAAATTCCGATAAGTAGAATTAACCGCCAAGATATAAATTGGTACATGAAATACATGGCATACAATGTTTGCATGGGATTAAAATACTTTCTAAGAAAATCGAAGAGTTACTTCTTCCTACAACAAAATTTATGTAACTGAAATGATACTGATTTTCCCATCTATAAATGTCGTAAAACCTGTAAGAAAAATCTCTTTCCCCATAAGAGAATCCTAAGGATGATACATCAGTAAGAACGTGTATATCGTTCTGTTCAGTAAGCTGATACGTTTTATGGATTACTTTCATCCACTCCACAAGAAGTCTGAATTGATTGACATCTAGTTCATATGAAAGAAAAAACCTGGACACGTAGATATTTGATAATACCTTGGCATTCTTTTATAGGTTGGCTACAGGGAATTTCACAGCCAGATAAAAATATTTTTGCAAGACATTTCCTGTCGAACAACTTCATCCTTACCTGCTTACTGTTTGATACAATAAAAGGATAGGATACTGAAACAGAGCAGTAAGTTTTGATATACAAGTTAAACAAAAACGCTAAGTGGTTTCTTCCATAAAAGGAACAAACTACGGAAGTGGTGTTCAAAATTTCTTGAGATGTTTCTCCTTAAACTTTCATTAAAAAAAACTTCAACATATACTCGTAGTCACTCACAACTCCGACAACAATCTTTAAGTTCTTAAGGTAACTTAAGTGAATGAAAAATGTCCAAACAAAACACTTTCAACTGTTAGACTTACACGATAAAGATTGTTCATTTGTTGTTTATAATTTTCACCAGAATTTTTTACAAATAATTCATTTTGTACAACTGGTGTAGCCTGTAAAGTAGATTAGCGTGTTTTCATTCCATAAATTTCTTCAGAAGAAGCAATTTAACGCAGAAAACAGAAGATGCACCGGGGTAATATGATAAAACTATACTTTACATTTTAAATTGGGTGATGGATGATTGAAAATGAGATGAAAATTTGGACCGCGGCCGGACTTGAACCAGCGACCGCTGGGTTACTGGCCTGGTTCTCTACCAAATAAGCTACGAGGAGATAATTAAGGAAGGAGCTATGAAAAACCTTTGCAAATTTATGATTGATATCTGCAGAAACCTTACAGTTAGATAGCTTTGTTACTGTCGGCTCACGTAGTTCCTGTGGTGATATCCTTGTGAAGTAGGCTAGTAGAGAGAAACATTTGGACTTGTTTTCCTGGCTTCTAAGCCCTGTAGGTCGTAAAGCTTAACTTATGTTTGGAAAAAACGGCTTTTTGAATGGTAATTAGTGTTATATTGTACAGTCTAGTTCACCACATTATCGCAACCAGGATAGCTTGATAACTTGTAGCTGTGTATTCGAAGCTAGATATCAAACTTTTGTCAGAGGAACATATAGGTTAATTGATAAAATCTAGCTGAATGGTAGGATTGTCTCAATTATTTGAAGATAGCGGGGAAAAAACTTGAAAATGAAACAGACACCTACGAGAATTGATGGTTTGTATGTGATACTGTTTGATATCCTCTATTCGACTGTTGAATTTAATCGTGTTTATGAAGCTGATATTCACTTTCAATAAGCCGGATATTGTGATCACTCACTCTCTTTCTGAAGTGCATCACCAGTACAAACTCTAAAATGTGTGGGCTGTTCGAATTTCTTTAAGAGAAATTTTATACATTGCTTTGCTTATAGTCGAATCCTACAAAATTGGCTTACATGTTCATCAACAACACTCTGGTATTTTCGAATAACAAAATGAATTTCATCATAGCCACAGATAAGCATTGTTGATGGATGCAAACTGGTGTAACAACTGCTTATGATGATTTGGTTTTCTCTGTTCAACAGCCTTCGCGATGAACTGCCCACGACAAAATATCGAAGCTCAGAGAATATTGAACCAGCATCATCCTTATCCTGAGCTACAAATCTTTTCCACCATTTGCATTTAGGCCTTTCTTTCTACTTCTACCATACTATTCTTCATGCATCAGTGTTCGTAATTCAACATTATGTACTTGATTATTTTGTCGAAACAAATTCTGAATGATAAGGGACAATCCATCCTAATAGGATATCTTTACAAGCTTTGTCGATTAACCAAGCGAGCCAAAACTATTGCCAGTATAAGTGAGCACACAACAAGCAGCAACCAAAGTACATTCCTAACAGCTTAAACAATAATCAAGTCATTATTTTGTTACTTTCAATTTCCCTTCGCTATACCAACCCGAATTGCTCGATCTTTGTTGGCAGATGAACTCCTACATGGATACCTCGGAAATTCTGGGTATTTGTGGCGTTAGCTGTAGGATGCCTGTTTCGTCCTGTTTGGGACTTGTCAGTCAGATGCACCCACACTGCAGTGAGTAGTGTTGTTCCTAATGAGACTTGAACCCGGTACCCATTGCTTCAAACGCCAAAGCGCTAATGTCTTAGTCACAAGAGAACAATGGCCACCTCTTTGCTAAACGGGTATCAGTTGTTGTTTTAATACTAATGATTTTCTGTTACTATGCAGGGCCAAGAGTCTCGACTTTGGGAAGTTACAAGTATCAAAACAACAACTGATCCTCGTTTCACAAGAGGTTCTCCTGTAACCCAGTGGATAACACTTGGCGTCTGAAGTAATGGGTTCCGAGCCTAGGTCTGATTTGGAACAATATCACTCACAGAAGCGCAAATGCTTCCAACTGATGAATCCTACAATGGACGAAATGTGGGTTCTGACTTCCGCTGTTAGTTACCATGATGAATATAATAATGAAGATATACTTAAGTGTCCGGAAGATAACAGCTTTAATGTAGCGCGTTTCGTGTAATTTTGTTATTCTGGAGTTGATTGTACAGCAAATAATTCAAATAAGGGTAAATAGGCCTTAGGATACTGCAAAAATGGAAAAAAATTCATTACATACAATAGGATAAAATCAGACTATCTTCTAATCACAAATTTTGTAGGCATCGGCAAAGTTCTTTGTTAATATTATCGATGTAGTACTCACTATGTACTTCAAGATTTCTATTAGGAATGTTAAATAACTAGGCATATATAACTATTCTGTTAGATTCATTAGCTATCCTCTGCAAATGACAAACAATTATTTTTGAAGCTTACTACAAATAAACTGCATATGTTGTCCAGCCTATGCCTACAATTTAAACTGTTGTTACTGCATATAAGGTTCTGTGAGCTGAATTTGTTCGAGTATACTTCTGATGACAGCCCTAAACTAGCGAAACAGACTTTCGTTGATTACATCACTCTTATCTGGCTGGAGAAATCTATAGATCAGCTTGAGTGGCTTTCAACTACTCAAGTTGTTTAGTAGAGCATTCTGTTAGTTCACGGTGCTTCTGTGTCAGAGATCAGACCTTGTGATCCCTGCTGAGGGTTGCTTTCCTGTGGAAACTTCGTTGATACTACAGCTAGACAGTTAAACAAAAACTACTCGACTGTAAGATAGGTAAGCGTAGACAGTACAATTTGTGAAACATTTACAAACTGGTCGTCCTATTTAAAAGCCGCTATTTGTGTTAGACAGTTGGATAAGATACAAAAAAGATCACTCTCCAGTGACCATACATTTAGAGCTGATATCATTGGAATTCAATATTTTTTCTTTCCAATCTCACTGGTAACACAAGCATTCCCTAGTATACAAGTAAATCCGACTGATTGGAAAAAAGGCAATATGTGTAGTCTTGGTAAATGTGGCTAACTATTATGATACAATGTTATGACTGTCATACTGTCAGATACTGTGAACAGCATAAAGTTATGGAAATTTTTTTCAGATAATCAGAGATTATAAGCGAAACTGATAGACTGACAGATAATTGGGACAAAATAGTCGAACAATGACAATACTTTGAGAGAACGGGCAGTAACACATTCAGTCATTATATGACCTAGTACAACTGTATGCAGAACGATTTTAACAATAAAGATTAATGAATTTGGCATAAATATAAAGGCAAGACATTTTCCGCTTTTAAAATTCAACATTATAAATAGTATATCTCATCTCTAGCTTTTTTTCCCTACAATTAATGGTTTTTAATTTTTCTAAGCTGTATAGCACACAGAGATAGCTCCATAGAAGTATTTGATGCAGGTTTGATTCTTTAGAAAAATTCAGTTTACTGACGGTTATCACCAAATAAGCACAAACTATATATTCGAAATTTGGTGAGCATCAGTTATTTAGATTTATTCGAGTTATAGTGGTTAGCAAAACTTATTCATTATGAAAGTGTTTGAATTTTGATCAGTTAACATAAAGTAAAGCTGGACAACTAATATGACGTTGCATAGTATATTTCTGCAAATTCTCCACATTTATACAACTGATTTTTATCATGTCTTTTTACGACCTTTGGAACATATTCTCACCCTTTTCTTTATCTGTGTACCAACTTATGAACCACATCCATCACCCATCCAGATCAACCTAGGACCAGGCATTACTACTTAACGGTCCGAGTTGCCACACCTCATATCAGTACACCAAGTAAAAAGGTAGTGAGGTGCGAGATGAAGATAAGAGAATGCAGTCAGAAGAAACATAAAGTACTAAAAGAGAGAAACGAAGAATGAGAAAGTGGTGAGATTAGGTGTAGCGTCGTTAAGATGAGGACAGTGTATGCATACATCTGCACCACTGGCATCGGATCTCAACCATATCACCTAGAGTCTCCAACCACTGGTTACTCTTGTCCCCACCCCCCCCCCACCCCCACCGACCCCAACCACCTAGTCTGCATCGTCCTACATAGCTTAAACCAACAGTCAGAGACTTCATACATTGGTGCCATATTTTGATCTGGCTACCTCTGGCATTTTTCCAGTCTGGACCCACCTCAACCAACATTGTGTGACGAGGCAATCGTTGACTAGGCATACGTAGTACGTGTCCCAACCATCTCAGTTGATGAAGGTTCATAACCTCGTCAACTGACTTACCTCTTCTCCCCAAAACTCTACTCCTGACTTCTGCATTACTCACATGGTGACACCACGGAATACGTCCTGTACCACGAAGGCAATGGTGGTCAAACACCTGAAGCCAGACTTCTCTTGTCTTCCACCTTCAATGGTCATGTTTCACAGAGGACGGCTGTGCAGTATACGCGACTCTTAATAGATAATCGGATATCACAGAGGCGCCACAGCTGGCGTAAGTTGGCGAAAGCCAGTCTAGCCTTTTTAATCCGTTTTATGAACCACACTCGTCATTTGAGAGTTGATAATAATGTCTGACTCTCAAGTCTTCTGTAGCTAAGACAGCGTTAAAAACTACGATGTAATGACTGTAGTTCGTAGCTCATTGATCTGACCACTCAATTTTCAATGGATTGGTAACGAGTTCCAACTCCACTCTACCTACCAAGATTTGGGTAGCCATATAAAATTATCAGTTCTCACACAATAATCGCACACACACACACACACACACACACACACAATAATCGCCTACTGTACAAATGTACACAATGTCTCTGAGTCAATTTTGAATTCTGTGATTGCAACTAAAATGTCTAAACAGCCAATAACGTGGTGAATACCTTCTAGTCTCTATCGTCTTGATAAGCGAGCAAATGCATAAGCTATTTAGTTTAGAATACTTAGAGAGAAGAATGGAAATAACTATGAAACTGTACTGTAGTCAACTAATGAAACCTGGGCTGAAGAATGGATACTCCAGCCAACTGTTGCACTTCATACAACAACTGGTTTTTATGCAATTATAAAGAAAGCTATTTTCAGTAAGTTGTTTGGAACCTATGCATATTTAGTTGTAAAACTATATTTAGTAATTAGGCACTCAAAATATCTTCTTATGTGAGTATTAAAATGAATTCTTAGGACAATAACAACTCAGTAGGTATCAGTAAATTACTGAATTATTTTTCAACTTATTCAAAGATTTTTTTCAGTTCATCAAAAAAATAAAAAGAGTATAGAATGCAATTGAATTGTAAAACCTACCGTAATAGTGAATTGTGTATTGCCAATTAAATCATTGATTATTTGTGTTAGATTATGATCAACAAATGGACGATTCATTGAGTACTGACTTCTTTTAGTCTGGTCAAGTATATAACGCTCTGAAAATGTGAAAGAAATGTGGCATTATGAATTTTATTTAAGTAAAATCTAACAAAATGCTTATGATTTTCTAGTAACAACTTATCGCTTCTTTAATAACTCGTATTCTGTTTTTTTTGAAGTCCTTAATGTAGGCTTCTTTCAATTGTCTTGTCATAAAACTGTGCCGATAAACTTCAGTGGGAACTGATAGCTGTAAAATAAGCTGCCACGAGATTCTGCAGTCATCACTTGTATTACTGGAATACAGTTTGTCATTTATTTTTACGGCTGCATTCATGGTTAAAGTGATCGCCGAGAAACTTGAAGGTCCTGAGTTCGACCCCTGGCAGGGTTGTCAGTCAAGTCGGTACTTCTATGTGATGGTTGAGAGACTTGACCCGTTACGAAAAGCATTCTCAACAAACTACAGACATTCATCAACAGCTACCGCCTATGCTCGCTCCTTACTGAAGATGGAGATCAGATGGCCAGAAAGAACAAGCAACAAGGATCTCTGGCCTGCCAACGAACCAGCCAAGAACGTATCACCCAAAAAATGTGCAGAAGGAAGTGGAAATGGATTGGACATACGCTGGGAAGACCGATTCGGCACATCACGCTCTAGGCTATCGAGTGGAACCCAGATGGGAAACGACGAGCTGAGTGTCCGAGGGAGGCATAGAGGAGATGGTGTGAGGAAGAAATGAAAGCTTGTTGGCAGTCGTGGAGCCAGGTTAAGACTGACTTCAAGTTTATATCATGATGAATCTTTAAAAGCCACCAAAACAAAGATTTCGACTGGAAAGGGAAAGGAAAGTTTTATAAATTAAAAACACCTGACAAGTTATTCCAATTATCGTTAGAAAAACCTTTAAGGTCAGTCTAATATCTAACCAAACTATGTGTAAGACGGTGAATTTTGGCTTATTCGAGGTTTTTAACCTTCAGCTAGCACTTACAATACTACAGGATAACAGAAAATATTGAACGAGTAACTATTAAGAGCTGACAGTCACTATTCATCATGGATTGACATCAGTTTGAAGAGCATCCAAAACCTAGGAGGAATAGGTAACCTTTTCGTCCTAGTATAGGACTCTTTAGCAGAGCAAACCTGTGACCCAGCGCAGGCAGAGATGAAACCCTACACCTTCAGGTTCCATGACCGGCACGTTATTATTGGGTCACTGTCTCGTAATGCAATGGTCAACATTTCCTACTTCTTCACGATATAGCGCGACCTACATCAAATGTCCAACCGACTCCGACCCATTGGCTCAATGGTAACGTGCTGGCCACGGAACCTGAAGGTTCTGGCCTCAACCCCTGACAGAGCCATGGGTGCGTGCTGCTAGGGGGTCCCATACTAGAACGGAACGGCTGTCCAGTGCTCCTAGGTTTTCAGTGTTCTTCCAACTGATGTCAGTCCATGATGAATTTCCGCCTAAAATCAATTATTAAACCTCCACAAACCTCTAGACAGAAATATAGTTGTTGTTTTCTCCTTAAGAATATTCGAAAGCAAAGTATTCAGCATACATGACTCTTTATAACGAAATTTTTCTCAAGCTCTACCTTCTTACATATATATGATATTTAAAGACTGAAATCTGTGAGTGGAATATGAACAATAGGAGATTGACATATCAATCATGATGATCATAGTTATCATAATGTTGCTGATTGATGATGTGAAAGTTAAATGATAACAAAAGGGGCTATGTAAGACGTTTTTAATTAGTTCATTAGGTGTATATAGATCGAAAAGACGTGAAAACGTAATAAAGCTAAGAAACAATGAAAGGATTAGGTAATATGAATGAGATAAAATCAAATTGTTTTTGTTAAAAGTTTCAGTTATTGGAAGGAAGAGATGAAGTAACACCAGAAACTAATAAATGTAAAAATAGTAGTGATAATGACGACGAGGGGAGTAGTCGAAAAAGAAGACGAATCATAAGAAACCAGGCTAAGGCCAAAGTATAGAAGAAGACTGTTTATACTTCTTTTGCTCACATACGTTAGTCTTCAGTCCATCAACAGCCAATGCTTCTGTTACTTTTAGCAGTTGAAGACTGATAAAATCTTTGATTGAATCCGGATGGGTTGAATGATTGGATTGCATTAAATGTTCAAGGATAGCACTTCTAATACATTTTCTTGCACCATGTTGTTTTCCGCTTAAGAATGTTCATCATATCCAAAGTTTTCAGTCTATTCTCTATAGCGTATTGTAAGCATAATATAGTAATCGAACGAATTTTGCTTAGGCTTGTGATTGATAATCAACGAAACCACTGCTCGTAATCCTATTTGCCTGAATTCTTCCACAATGTCTCAACTTACAATATCTTCACAGGTGGCGTGATAAATGACTTGCTGACAATAAGACTGAAGAGGTTTCCCAGGCTGGTCTTCATTTAAACCAGTCAAATGAAGATTTTCACTACTCTAAAGAAAAATATTCTGTGAATACAGTAGAATTATTTTAGTGACCGGTGCTGATCACAATAGATACAAATAGTATAGGTTGACAGGGCGACAGAAATCATAGGCAATTACCAGCAATGGAGAAAGATACTGCCAAGAGAATCGCAAGAGACAATGAGGGCGAATTAACAGCAAATCAAGATAGAAGCAGAAGATGAGATGAAGCACATTATGCAAAGGACTGTCTTAGTGGAAAGTGTGTAATATTTGATGACTACTGTACACAAAGTCGATAATAAACACTCCTCACTGCGTCTCAGTCTTCTAGTTCTCTACAAATGGTGTCGCTGCTTCTTGGCGTGGTGAAGATTCCGTGGCCTGCAGCATTCGAGGATGGACATATCAAAGTCTTTCTCAGGGACTTTGAGTTGGTCGTGGAGCTGATGGGTTTCCAGGACCCAGGAGTGAAGGTTGTGGTGCTTGGCACGTTGCTGTGGGGTAGAGCGAATGCGTTATATGACGGCGTGGAAAGTGTGGATGCGAAGGAGACTTGGGAGATAATTGTTGAACGACTGGAGGCGGAGTCTGACAACTCAGCGGACAGGGAGCTAGCTGTTCAGCAGTTCCGTAGCATGAAACTCGAAATGGAAAAAGATCCACTAGTATTGGCTGTGAAGTTGACTAAACGTCTTCGACGAGCACTTCTCACTTTGGATGAGGTCTCCAAGGCTCAGCTGCTGGCTGCACAGTCCACTGAAAGTGTCCCAAATGCCTTTTCCCAGCAGCTACGACTAGTGAATGCAGCCCAACCCATGGACATTAGTGAGATGGCCAGGGTCACCAGATAGCTAATGAGTACAGCAGTAGCTGCAGTGGAGTCACCAGAGGTAAATAACTGGAAAAAACAAACCGACAACCTTCAGGATGAGGTGGCTGTACTTCGAATGAATACCAACAGGGAGAGTAAATGCTTCGCATGCGGAAAACTGGGACACTGGCAAAAAAATCGTCTGCAGAGGCGAAAAAGAGAAAGTTTTGAACGACATAATATAGATTCTGCATCTCCAACTAGACTAGATGTCGTAGGAGCCATAGAGGTGCTGCATATGCTAGAATGCGAATAAATGATCGAGTGATCGTATCTTTAATAGGTAAGGAGGCGGCAGTCTCGTTGACAGATAAGAGTCAGTCTCAGAACATAAAACCAAGTTCGCTAACGCTGCAATCGGTTGGGGACATGCATTAGAAAACCCAGGCTTATCAGATTGTGCTGTTGACATCGGAAGTCAGAAAATTACATTTCCATTCACTGTCGTAGTGCATCTACGACGGACAGTCCTAGGTGCTGATACTTTTAAGAGAAGTAGGTGCAGCTATTAACACGAGAACAGGAATGGTGGCAACAAAGTACGGGTTGTTCACCACTCAGGGAAACAGTGATGTGGCAGAGATTGAGGTGAGGTGTCAAAAGCGCCACACCCAGAAGGTGGTTAAGAAATACGACAGATTGTTCACGGGAGATGCAGACCCCTACGAATACTGTGACACGGTTCAGCATGAAGTCCCAGTGTCAAGTCAGGCAATGACAACATTTATAACACGGCAAATACCACATTACTTAGAAAAGGATGTTGGGTGCCAGGTTCAAGAAATGCTAGATGAAGGCATTATTGAAAAGGCTGATAGTCCATACAGTTCACCCGTACTTTTAATAAGAAAGTCCAGTGGGAAATATCGATTCTATGTTGGTTTCCGAGAGTTAAATACTATGATGCAACTAAAGCCGTGTGACATGCCGACGGTGGTTGAAAAATTGGGTCGTCTGCAAAATGCAAAATTATTGACAGTTCTAGGCCTACGCTCAGGCTACTGTCAGCTACAAATTGTAGAAAACGACAAGAGGGAGAAGAAGGAAGGAATGCTTATTATTGATATCTTGTGCAGTAGTCATCAAATATTATACACTTTCCACTAAGACAGTCCTTTGCATAATGTGCTTCATCTCATCTTCTGCTTCTATCTTGATTTGCTGTTAATTCGCCCTCATTGTCTCTTGCGATTCTCTTGGCAGTATCTTTCTCCATTGCTGGTAATTGCCTATGATTTCTGTCGCCCTGTCAACATATACTATTTATATCCATTCTGATCAGCAACTCTCATTACATTATAAGTAGGGATGTTGAAGATTTATTCAACTGTTTATTATACTGTCAGCGAAGAATAATAAAGGAAGTGAAGCATTTCCTGAATGCATAAAGTGAAAGATGTACGAATTCACAGTTACATTCTTTGGTGTATAGATCATTCAAACGAGAAACCTGAGATCAGTGCTGGTTATAATTTTTATATTAAAAACGGGGAATTATAAATCTAACACTAGATTGACGGAAGTTATTTTTATGTATACACAATTATCACTATGTAGTGGAAAACTGAACTCAAACATACCTACCTAGATCATAGGCAGCATCAAGGATTTGATCAGTGATTTGTACTTTACTTACTGGGATTTCACGTCTATTCCTCATGTACAAGAGATCTGTAGATATACAAAATTTTAACTATGAATATTAGGAAAATTAAATATACACAAAAGAAAGTGATAAAAACTAAATAAATTATGTGAAATTTGCAATCCAATTATCTTTTGTACAATGGTCTTGCAATTCACAAAAAAGTGTTTACAATAGACTAGTGACTATCATATCGGTCACAGGTTTTGCTTGTAGTCATGTCACGAAACGTTTACCGGCTATAATAGTCTTTTTTAATCACAATCGAATCAACTGAACAGACTTAAACATAGTAGAAAAGTAGAATATTGCCAAAATATATTTTGATTTTTATTTGTAGAAACTTATCATTCGCCTGAACAAAAATAGCTACATCAATCTATACAGTCGTTTCCTGAAGTTTCATAAATGACCATACCTTTATCTGTAATCTAGACATACTCAAACCGTAGTCATAACAGTTATCATATAATTCACTGCTAAACTATTTGTGCTCAAACAAAGAATTTGTCATTTAGTTGTATAACCTTAGGCCTTGATATGGAAGCGAATCGACTGATGAACAAGCTACACATTTTGATGCTAAACTATGCAATTCAGTACTCCAGTGAAAGGAGTTCCGTCTTACTTTGTTCAGGATCCACTAATGATTAGCATCAAGTTATTATCTTTCTAGATATAGTTCAATATTTATAACCGTAGAGTAAGTATTTGAATGCCAAAGATACTGTGAACTACCTCAAATCTACTCAATGTTAGCCTGATATGTGAATAACTGTTAGTTGTGGTAAATAACAGGAACTGTAAGTATTTATTTTAATTTGCCTGCTCTAAGTAAAACAAAGTAGACTATTCGAACTGTTTAAGGTTAAAGAATAACCAACTGTGAAATTAAAAAATAATAGAACACTTCTTCAACTATTCAGTATAGTTACTAACATTATAAAAAAACCTTCGATAGAATCAGTAGTTCTGTTTGGTTTACCATCTGATAATCATTTTTATGAATATATAACTTTCATGCTGGGTGAAAATTGAAGGTGAGAAGAAAATCTGGACCATGACCGGATTCGAAACAGCGATCACCGGGTTACCCACCCGATGCTCCACCAACTCACCTACCAGATCCGACTGCTTACCACACTTTTATTTCACTTCAATCATCAAGGGTTTTGCCTAACTACCATGCGAATTCGTGAATTCATTTCACCTTCAATCACCACCCAGTATAAATACTAGTTTGCCAAACTACGGCTATCTCAGATAGTCAAATTGATAATACAACTTTCAATAAATAGTGAGGAAAGCAAAAAAATTCATGGTTAACAATCGAAGTTAAGAAAAAATGTCTATCAGAACGGTAGTATTTCACGTTGAAAAGAATTCAACTGTTTGTTCATAGGGATTTATCGGTTGTGAGACCTAATAGTTATGGGCTCGACTCCCTCCATGACGTCATGTAAGCATAATGCTGAGGAGTCTAAAACTAGGATGAAAAAATTATTCAATGAGTTCAAGTTTTCAATGGATCTCCAAATGATGTCACTTTCTTGTGAAAAATATTTATTGCTATTATGAAATGAGTCTTTCTTCTTGATTATCATACTTAATATAGTGTTTCAAGAAGACTTTCGTACATCCACAGTGAATCCTGTATATGACTTAATTCTCATATTTACATACCTTTGGGATTAAAAGCATTTATTTTCCCAGTTTGTAAGAATATATCCGTGAATTGATTCTGTTCAGGATCTGAACAAAAAAAAACAAAAATAGGGGCATACACATTACCCATAAATTAAATGGAATTATTGAGCAAAGAGTAAACCAGAATTGCCAGTTGGACAGATGCAGTCGGCAGGAAGCGTTAGTCGATCAAGATTCTATGCTTTCTGCAACCTCTAGGAAACTGATTTCCCGCTTGAGATTCGAACCCACTTCACCCAGTGTCGCAGTCAAAGGCGTTACCACTAAACTATTCAGGTCATGAGTGACCTCCTGTAGGACTGGATTAGGTACATTGATTGATCGCTGAAGGGTAATCAACTTTATGTTGTTCAGTCCTATGTGGTGATAGAATTCTATTGGTCGGGGGAATAGCCCAAGGTCTTCAGTTGGCATCCGCTTCACTTCCGACTGGTTGACCCCAGTGGCTGAATATTTAATAAGTTTGCCATGAAACCTGAAGGTTCTGAGTTAGATCCCTAGCCGGGTTATGGTTGCGTAAAGCCGAGGAATGCCAGACTAGGACAAAGCAGCTGTCCAGTACTCTCAGATTTTCAATGGTTCCCCAACTGATATCAGACCATGATGAATACTACCTCTAAATTAAAGATCCCCATCTCAAAAATAAATATGTTAAGTATTTATTGCATCTGGCTAGCTAATTTCTCCAAAGAACAATCTTCATCTCAGCTAACTAATTCATTAAATCAGAATAAAGCATTTGTACGCATACATTTACCATTTCAAGGCTTTTCAACTGATACTGTTTGATAGATAAAATTCATGTTCTTGTGTATGTAAAAATTCATAAATTTAATTTGAAACAGTGGAGAATATTTGTAGTTCAGGTGGATTGCCCTGGTTGTATTGTATTCTCTGAGCTCTGAGAACACAATACAACCAAGAACAATTGAAGCTGAACAATACTAGAATAATTTTCGCATTCCATATCAGTTCCTTTCATATTTGTAGGTTTGCAAATTATTGTGTTCACCGAAGAACATGCAGTTTGTTAAGAAACCTTAAACTGAGTACCTAAAGGTTTCCTTTCCATATTAAACCCTAAGTCATTGGGTTCCATAAAGTTATCAAATGGATGAACAAAATTGAAGCATTTATTTTAGCGAATTCATTCATAGCGACACTGAAGAGTTTTGGAAAAACTCTAGCTACATATTCTGACAGATTAACAAATATATGAAACCATTTCGGTGAGTCCCTAATAGTTTTTTTCGTAATATTTTACTGTCCAGGTTGAGTGAAATCGAAACAGAAACCCTTCTACTTGAAATCATATTTAATATTCCGAGAAAATCTCACAACAATACTGATACTCAAATCAAATGAGAGAACTTAAATCATCAATAGTGTCACATGAAACCAATGAATCGAGAGACGAGGGCTTGGTTAAAATCTTGATTTTTTGAAATTGTCAATCAGTACTTCACATAATTTATTTTTTCTGAAGATCATCAAATATATCTCTGAGAAATGAAGATACACTTATTTTTAGGTTTCGCTGGAATTTTGGTGCATTCTTGCTAGATAAGAACAAGTATGTAGATTAAGTCAAATTAAATTCGAACGACGCATCTGTATTCTGGACTAATTATTCAATCAAATATTTCAATGAAACAATCAATGAGAAGATGGAATACAAATTAATTAAGAAAGCTATTAAAAAATAAACTAAGCAAGAATATTTCAGCTCATTAGAAATCCATTAATATAGGAGTAAAACTTGGGCACTGTGGAAGATTGTAATTCCATTTTAGTCTGTTTATTAGAAATATCACAGTATTATTATTATTATTATTATTATTATTATTATTATTATTATTATTATTATTATTATTAGTCCCTTGGGTTCCTAGTGGAACATAGGGCTTCAGTAGCACGTCTCCAGTGCACTCTGCTCTCTGAGATCTTTTGAACCTGGTTCCAGGACAGCCCACAACCTCTCATTTCCTCCTCGCACGACCTCCTCCATGTCACCCTCGGACGTCCAACTCGTTGCTTCCCATCGGGATTCCACTCGAGGGCCTGGCTGGTGATGTCCCCAGTTGGCCTTCTCAGTGCATGCCCATTCCATCTCCATTTCCTCCCGCATATTTGCTGAGTGATAGGTTCTTGGTTGGTTCGTTCACAGAGCTCCTTGTTGCTTATTCTTTCTGGCCATCTGATCTTCAGTAGCGAGCGTAAGCAGTTGTTGATGAATGTCTATAGTTTATTGGAAATCCCTTTCGTGACACGCCAACTCTCTGAGCCATACAGAAGCATTGACTTGACGTTGGTGTTGAAAATCCGGATGTTGTTCCTCATGCTGAGTGCAGTGTAGGAGATCTCCACACTGGTTTCTTGCTAACGAACGCCTGTCTTGCTTTTCCGATTCTGACTTTGACATCCTCGTCTGTGCCGCCTGTAGATGAGACAGTGCTGCCTAGATAGGTGAAGGAGGCTACTTCCTTTAAGTTTCTCCCGTTGGTAGTGATTGGAGCTTGTTGTTGTTGGTGGTGGTGGTGGCGTTGGTTGGGTATCTTCATCACCTCTATCTTCTCTATATTCACTTGAAGTCCCATCTTCGTTGCCTCTTCTGTCAACTTGCTAGTTTTCGCCTGTAGATCTTTAAGTTTGGGCTATATCAGACACAAGTCGTCTGTGAAATCCAAGTCTTCTAGGTTCTTTTCCGCTGTCCAGCATATACTCCTCTTCTCGCTTCTCACAGTTTGTTGCATGATACAGTCGACCACAATCAGGAATATCATGGGTGATACTAGGCAACCTTGTTTCACTCCTGTCTTCACTTCAAAAGCATCCTTGAGCTTCCCATTGTGAATTACTTGGCATGTGGCATCTTCATATAGTTGTTGAATGAGGCTGATAAGGTTTGTGGTATTCCGTAGTGTTGAAGCAGTTTCCAAATTACCTCTCTGTTGACGCTGTCGAAGGCCTTCTGAAAGTCGATGAAGTTGAGGTGTAGAGTTGACTGACATTCTATAATCTGTTCTATGATGATGCGTAGCGTAGCGTTGCAATTTGATCCACACATGATTTGAACTTCCTGAAATGAAGCCAGTCTGCCTGTTCCGGTCGTAGTTTTGAATCCACTGCATCCTTTAGCCTCTCCAGGATGATGCGGCTTAATATTTTGTTTGCTCTGGGTGGACAGGAGCGTGATTCCGCGCCAGTTCTTGCAAACACTGAGGTCTCCCTTCTTCAGCCGTTTGACAAGGTAACCCTTCTTCCAATCAATCCACAGGTACCTTCTCTTCCTTCCACACCTTCTGCAATAGTGGTGTGGTGTGAGCATGTCCGCTGTTGTCTCTGCGTCTGTTCTCAGTGCTTTTGGTGGGATGCCATCTGGTCCCTCTGCTTTCCCGCATTTCAGTAGCTTCATGGCGCTCACGACTTCCACTTTTGTTGGAGGATTTGTGTTCACTGTGACTGTAGGTGATATTTCTGGACGAAGTGCAGGTGGTGGTGGTGGTCGATTCAAGAGCTTCTTGAAGTGGTCGGCCCATCGTTTCCTTTGTTTCTCTTCTTTGGCAACTAGATTTCCCTCATCATCTTTTATTGGTTTCATGTATGCTGATCTCTTTCCTCCCAGAGAGTAACCTGGTTATTTGATACAATGTTGTCAGTTCTCTCCTACCAGCCGGCAACCTGTTCTGCTTCACTTGCCAGTGTTCCGTAGAAGTGTCTTTTGTCTTTGCGTGCACACTTCTGCACTTCTTTGTCCAGTGTGTACTCAGTGTGTACTTAGTTCCTCTTCTCGTTGTTCATCCCTGCACTGCACTGGTTTATCTTCTGCTTCACCATCCTCCTCTCCCTGCTCTATCAGCTTCCATGTGTCCATTGAGTTCACTTCCTTATCTTCTTTCTTCTTACTTCCTAATACGGCTGTGCATGTTTCTTTCTACATAGCTTTCAAAGAGTTCCAGTGTTCTTCCACACGTTTCTTCAGGGATGTTGCTCGATGTCTCCCATTTTGTCTTGATGGCTGACTGTTGTTAAGATTTCTTTTGTAGTTTCATCCTTCAGTTTCCGAGTGTTGTACTTGAACTGAGGTCTATCACGAATTTCCTTGAAGGCTTTTCACTTGATTTGAAAGGTTCCTTGCACCAGATAGTGAGTGGTGTAAACCTACATCTGCTCCTCTTCTTGACCTAGTGTCAAGTAGGCTGGCTGCGTCTCCATTTTCTTGAGATTGAAATAAAGTCGATCTGATTTTTAGCAAATCCACCTGGTGAAATCCATGTCTCTCGCTTTGTGGATATCCTTGTGCTTGAACACAGGGCCTTACTCCAATCACCAAATCGTTGAATGCACAGAATTCTGCAAACAATTCTCCATTCTCGTTCATCACCTCACCGAGCGAAATATCACAGTAAAACAGTATAATTTACTGGAAAACATTTCGGACACAATTTATTGTGCATATTCATACCAAGTAACTCAACAACTTTGAGACAAACTTTATATATTCCCAATTCTTTCTCCTTCTCTGTGATGTTAAGGTAGTAGGATTTTCTATATATCTCAGACAGGTGCTAAATTATTCCTGTTACTGCATGTGTTTGGTGTTGATTCGGTAAACAAAGATTCAGTTATCAATCTCTCCGTCCCTTAGCCCAACTAAGTTTTTAACGCTGTCGCTCCATCCTACCCTATTGTGTGATAGTGCGTAATTGCGTGCAGAGCTGTAGCGGAGCCTTTCACTAAATTTCTTATGTTAATGGGATCTACTAATCTAGATTTAGCTAAGTTTTTATGCTCTGTTTTGTTCTAATCAACCCAGTTCGACCACTTTCACCTATGTATTTGACCTCACAATCATTGCAAGGGATTTGGTAAACCAAATTATTTTGTTTAATTGCATCCATGGGATCTTTTAACCTAGAAAGCTTGTTTCTAAGTGCATTTTTTGGTTTAAACGCCACTTTAATCCCAGCTAGCCTAACTGAGAATTCTTTATAATGCTTCTGAGGTGCCTTCCTTGTATGGTAACACAGCAGAGGCTTTGAATTTTCTCTCAACCCTGTCCTTAAAAATCCCCATTTTAGTCCAAGTGACATCTGAATAAACAAAGAACATTCTTTTCAATAACTTCTTCATGTTCTCCAATAATAAATCCAGTTTTCACTGCCAAAAGTGGGATTGAGTGAAATATTTCCTTAGTAATACATATCAGACGGTCTGGTAAATTTCTTCAGAAAAGTCTTGTCTTAAAGGTGATTTAATCGCGAACAGCACCTATAGTGAAACTTAATTCCTATGATCTAAACTATCTTATTAAGATGGCCTGCCAAAAGCACAAAAAATTGATATTCTTATCCCAATATTACTTTCTACAGTCAACTCAAAATTTAAAATGTTGACGTAGCAGTTAGTAAAACAGTTACGACGGATTCGCTCACCATTCATGGTTTGAAATAAACTTCTTAGCTTCCGCTTAGCATATAATTTCTACTTGAAACAATTAGTCACTTTGATAAATTTTGATAACATTATTCTAAGACGAAGATTATCTGAACAATGTGATGTATTTGGTCAATACATTTCGAACAGTCTGATCCCCAACACATTTACTTGTCAAGTCAATTTATATATGAAAATGAAAGGTCAAATATAATGAATATGAAAAGGTTGTGACACTGGTCGTGATAATATAATCAGGTAAGGATTACCAAGATAAATTAGATGAAACAACAAATAATTTTTTACAAAAACAACGAGGACTTAAATTTACGAATGACTAACACCATGGAGAGTCCATTAGGACCGCTATTAGCTGATGTATAAATGTCATATATTGAACTAACTGCTCAGGATTTAATCAGTAACGTCACTATCTATAGAAGGTATATTGATGATATCATTGCAATATATAACAGATGATGATGCTGGGGTTTTTAGAAAGAAGCCTAATACCGTACAAGATCAAATGTCTCATATGAGGAAGAAAATGACCATCAGTTTGCATTGCTTGATATACTCTTGTGTCGGAGGGAAGATGGATCTATCAGGCGATCAATATATAGAAAGCCTGCTTGAACGGGATAGTAACTGAATTTCTACAGCTTTTGTCCAATGAAATATAAGATAGGCTTAGTAAGATTCAACGTATTTGTACATGTGATACAATGGATGATGAGAGGAAATTTCTGACAGATACACTTATGGAAAACCTATATCCATTATACTTTGTGAACCGTTGTAGAAACCAGTTAACCCCGAAGCCTCTGTCCCGAAGAAGGATATATTCCTTAAAGTACCATAAAGAGGGGAAACGAGTAGTATGGTATTGAAACAGATTAAAATATGTTATCACCTTTGAGTATGTTTGGGATGCGATTTTCACCACATAAATGCAAATGTTTGCTCCAGGACTGGTCTTCAGCGGTGCCGTGGCTAACAATAGAGAGTGAAGTGGTTGAGTGTGTGGACCACTTCACTTACCTGGGAAGTAGGATCAACCCTATTGGGTTTGTTGCCGATGAGGTCTCTGCACGGATACAAAAGGCTCGATTGGCTTTTGCCGATTTGCGCCACCTATGGCGCCGCCGTGATATTCGTTTGTCTATTAAGGGTCGTGTGTACTGCACAGCCGTCCTCTGTGAAACATGACCATTGAAGGTGGAAGACATGAGAAGTCTGGCTTCAGGTGTTTGACCACCATTGCCTTCGTGGTACAGGACGTATTCCGTGGTGTCACCATGTGAGCAATGCAGAAGTCAGGAGTAGAGTTTTAGGGAGAAGAGGTAAGTCAGTTGACGAGGTTATGAACCTCCATCAACTGAGATGGTTGGGACACGTACTACGTATGCCTAGTCAACGATTGCCTCGTCACACAATGTTGGCTGAGGTGAGTCCAGACTGGAAAAAGGCCAGAGGTAGCCAGATCAAAATATGGCACCAATGTATGAAGTCTCTGACTGTTGGTTTAAACTATGTAGGACGATGCAGACTAGGTGGTTGGGGTCGGTGGGGGTGGGGGGGGGTGGGGACAAGAGTAACCAGTGGTTGGAGACTCTAGGTGATATGGTTGAGAACCGATGCCAGTGGTGCAGATGTATGCATACACTGTCCTCATCTTAACGACGCTACACCTAATCTCACCACTTTCTCATTCTTCGTTTCTCTCTTTTAGTACTTTAAATTTCTTCTTCTTCTCTTATCTTCATCTTGCACCTCACTACCTTTTTACTTGGTGTACTGATATGAGGTGTGGCAACTCGGACCGTTACGCAATAATGCCTGGTCCTATGTTTATAATGATTGATTATCACCTTATCATTGTTGAGACAACAAAACACCTACTTCTCCAAAAACCTCAACCTTACCTAAATGATTATACCACATCCCGCTGTATTTAGCAATCCACATGTATGTGTGTGTACACATACATATGGAGGAGTAATCGTTCAATGCAGACTAGGGTGGGTGAACATATACCTAAATGACTTGAAGAACAGTTTAACGCATAAGCTTTGATAAGTGAAGGTGACAGACATCCATCTTCATATATAGCAAAGCATATCGTCGAAATCAATCATAAGATTAATAGGAAGAGAGCATTCAAGATATTTATACTGAGTGATTGAAGGTGAAATAAAAATTTGGACAGCGGTCGGATTTCAACCACCAACCACCGGGGGTTTCCGACCCAATGCTCTACCAACTCATTTACGAGGTCCAACTGCTGACCAGAATTTCATTTCACTTCAATCACCATAGGTTTTACCCAACTGCCATGTGAGTTTGTGACGCGTTACTACTAGTCTGCCAAACTACGGCTATCTCAGACAATCAAACGATAACCAGTATGATGCTACCCTACCTCTCTAATTCACTCAGATTTCGATTGCGATAAGAAGTCCTGATTAGACAGACAGTGTGAATACGATCAAGTAGTAGTAAGGCGTCACAAACTCACATGGTAGTCGGGCAAAATCCTTGATGATTGAAGTGAAATAAAAATGTGGTCAGTAGGCGGATCTGGTAGGTGAGTTGGTAAAGCATTGGGTCGGAAACCCCCGGTGGTCGCTGGTAGGAATCCGACCGCGATCCAAATTTTCACCCAGTATTAATACGAGTCTACCAAACTACGGCTACCTCAGATAGTCAAATAACAATTCAAGATATTATGTAGGAACAGTCAGGCGCGCATACTGAAATCTCCTGAAGCGTTAGTCATTCGTAAATTTAAGTCCTCGTTGTTTTTGTAAAAAACTATTTGTTGTTTCATCTAATTTATCTTGGTAATCCTTACCTGATTATATTATCACGACCAGTGTCACAACCTTTTCATATTCATTATATTTGACCTTTCATTTTCATATATAAATTGACTTGACAAGTAAATGTGTTGGGGATCAGACTGTTCGAAATGTATTGACCAAATACATCACATTGTTCAGATAATCTTCGTCTTATAATTTCTGTGTACAAAGATCTTATTTAAAGGGAACTCAGAGAATTCACATCAGTATCCTATCATTCTTAACTCAACAAGAGCTGATTTTGAACATCTTTATTCATACTTACTGTAGAGAAATCTTATCAGTTCATTGTCTTCAAGAATACGAAGAATTGGCACGGTGGATGTCATTCATGATGAACTAGAAATCTTACAAGAAATCCTGATTAAAAATGAATACAGACCCAAATTTATAGATAAACCGAAAAATCTCACAAAACACGTGCATAGTGCTGTGAAAATCTTTTCACTCTTGAACTCAAGGGAGATATTGTATCAGATATACTTAGAAAGAGACTATCAAATTCTGGAAATAGAACATTCTTTTCCATCAACCTTGGAATCACATCCTTCTGTCAGAATCTTATTTTTCAGAATCCAGAGGATAAACTGAAGCATTGGGCCACATGAGTGTATATTAGTTTACCTACTCCTGTGAAGCGGAGTACATCTGTCATACCTTCCACTGGCGTGTACAATGCACTTTCGAATACGATTGCAGCTAAAACTGTATGATATTTTCAAGTAAATAAATTCACTCTGGTTGCCCTTTTAGATATGATCGTGCCTGATACTAATGTTTGTGTGTGTGATCTAGAATCGGCAAAGCTGAAGATTACAATCATTAAAACATTTGTAATAGCTTAATTAATTAATAAATTTTCTTAACTAAGTGCATCTCAATGTAGGGTCAAGAAGACACAGCCTGTGTAGAACAATAGTTCTTATTTCCTAGTCCTGTGTGACACTGTTGGAAAAATCCACTTAATAGCAAGAGCGATGAAGTATATCTTAAATTTACGCTATTTACTCATTATCTGATATCATGTTAGTTGTTTGCAAACTTCATATCATTTATTCAGTTTATTGTTTCAGGTAGTAATGTAATGTAATTTCTGTAAATACTTGTAAATGCTATTCCAATAAGTTGTTAATTCAGTATGAATTTCTATTTCAGCAGACTTCACTGTCAATACACTGACCATTTTTCAAGCACGACAGTCCTGGAGATGATACATGATTTACCATTGAGTTGCTTATCAAAGAAACGTTCCCCTCCGAGAACAATTTATTTCATATATCAACACTATCAATTCAAAGTAACTGCAACCATATAAAGTAGAACTAGGTAAATAAAATTACAGACTTTACTCCTTCCCAACTAAAGGAATTTCTGTTCTTCCTTCATCTATGCAGTTCTTATAATATTTCAGAGTATCATGAGACAAAAACAGCTGCATTGTGGAAGTATTTCTTTCCTTAGCCAAAAATCCCAAGGCTTATTGTAAACTTACTTATCTGTGGATGAAATATAAAGGGTCCTATTAATCTCCTTGAACCAAATCTCAAATAAAAAATACAGCTTTCCGATGTGTTTCTATATGTTATAATATTTTTTATATCTTCATGATAATGAGATGGCGAAATGGGCTTCTTTTTCCCCGTATCCCATTCATCAGTAGTATATTTGCATCCACTGGGGTTATCACTATTGCAATCACCATCATCAATGCTCTCATTATCACCATCATCATAGTCATTGTCGTCATCTCCCTCCTCGTTTTGAATATCTTCGTAACTGTCAGTATGTTTAAAGCGTACAAAGTGTTTATGGTGATGATTTTGGTGTCTAGCACGTTGTTCTTGTTGTTGTTGCTGTATATATTTTGGAACGAACTTTTTTATTTTGTACCTTCCACGATAACTGTTATCTTCAGATAAAACTTTTTCTCGTGGGGATTGAAATAAGGTGAAAATATTTTCATTTCTACTCTTTCTCAATTTACGCTGATGATTATTTTGTAGTTCATCTTTCTTTTCGACAAATTTTGGTACTAACATGTACGTCAAAATTACAATTGATAATACTATCAGTGTTGTTAACAAATTTAATGCATAAATATTATCAACTTCAAATAATAATGATAATTATATTCGTCTCGATTCGGTTTATGAAAATTGAAATAATCACATGTTCAATGTTGTGTAATTTTAAACAAATTAAGGTCGTTTATGTTAGCAACTTGATTTTGATTGATTCCTTATGATTCTCACCCACTTATGCTTGTAAGATGAACTGTTATAGACTAATTTTTAAGTTGATTTTAAGGTTAAGGTGAAAAACCGTATACAAACTGTTGGAAAAGTTTGAAATTGTTTTCGACATAATGACCTTATAGTCTATAATATTTATACAAATTTAAGAGAAAATCAGTGTAGGGTAAGACTCAGTAGTTAGTGAACGTAAAGCAAAAACAGGATTGTAGCTATCTTTGAGTCACCTGCCTTCATAACTTTCGTTCATAGCTTCGCAGATCAGCCCATATTATCCGACTATTAACACGGCTCATTCTGAAGTCACTCATTTTCAGTTGGTTTATCAGATCGATCACATAGTGAAACAGTATCGTTACCTGAATATATCGGAGTCAGTTTATGGTCATTAGTTATGTCACTTTGCAATGTGACCACCCAGCTAGAATACTGGCCATTGGAGTGACCCTTGGAATGTTGGCTGATTGGAGGCAATCCTTAGGAAGCCCTGCTTGACCTAGTTGTATGTCTTATGACACTTGTCAGTAAGGTGTACCCATAACCTCAAACGGAGTGACGTCCCGTGTGAGATTCAAACCGACATCACTCAGTGCTACAGTCAGAAACCTTACCACTGAGCTATTCAGGCCGTAATTGACTTTCTGTAGAACTAGATTAGATGCAGCCATTGATCACAGGAGAATAAACAATTTTGTGTCATCCATTTAAGATGTCATTCGATTGCAGTCTCCCTAGAAATTTCAGTTTTGTAAACAGTTATCACTCAGCTACTCATCAACTGATCGGAATCCTGTAAGCGTTGTAGTAGCTAAAGTTATGTGTAATAATGATGGGTAGTGGCTAGCAGTAGGATCCAGGACTTCTCATCAGGATATACCTACACCTTACTGAGTGATGATGTTCCCACCGAGACTAAAACTCAGTAGTCATCGATTCAGACTCCAGAGTCAGGATCTTCCACTTCATCCTGACCTGTTGCTGTCTCACGTATACTTTTAGTCTGGGTGTTTAATTTGACCATAATGTTAGCTTTTCAGGTGTAATTGTAAACGGAATTTTCAACCCAAGAGAATTCATTTGAGACAATATGTATGTCTAATCATCTGGGATCAAATATAAACTTTTCAGGAAGAAAAAAGACCAACAAATAGGCATATTTGTAACAGAGAATACTATGAAGTCTTAAAGGATGTCGTAATTATAATATACTTACAATAGTTACTCATACAGACAGCAAGAAAAGGAATGAAAGAGTGAACGTGCATACAACCAGCTCTTCAATAAATCATGAGTGGAAGTGGTAAGAGTGGAAAATCATTGTGCGAAGGTAAAGACGCGATCTGCTCGTGCTGGTCTTTAGTTACCAGCTGGTCGTGTCCACCATCAACTGTGGAAAGGTAACTGTGCTGAATGTGTTGGTAATGATGCTCCGTGTGGACCTGACTACTTTCCTCCAATGCCTGGTAGCAGAAATGCTGGAGTTGGCTGGCAATGTCGTTCCTGATAACAGTGAAGACGCATATCATTCCACGTCACCTGCAGTCAGCCATTCTTAACGATGAGAAGCTGAACCAATGGAAGAACTGGATTCTTGTCTAACTAAATCGCGTATGTTCTACGAAGGCTTACCGATAACAAAAAGGTTAGGTAAGAATCTTGGTTGGTAGGCTTTCTAGTGGAATAAAAATAACTGGTAGATTGTCAGTGTTGAAGTAACCAATTTATATGCCAGATATTAATGCATTCTAAATAGGGTTATGAACAAAAGATATTGAAGTCAGAATCAATACTGACAGCATGTAATAAAGCAAGAGTTTTAGCATACTTCTGATAAGCAGATTCTTATTCGGGAAGATTAAACCCATCCGGAATCAAAAGTAGGGTCATCTCTTAGTCATATTGTAGCTGTTCTTAGTCTTTCAGTTATTGTATACATCCTGTCACACCAACACTACTCAATAATATCCCGAATTTCAATAAGCGATATACAGAAATGGAAACGCTTGTCAGTTTCATCAAAAAGTGCCTGGGAAGTAGAAAGCAGCTTATCACGAATAAGTGTTGTCATAAAATACTAGACATAAGAGTAACGATTTTGTTTCTGAATTTTAATACTTTATAGCTTCTGTAAGTGAATAATCAGAAGTTTGTCTTGAGGAACCACTATCTGAAAGCTTACTGAAAATATAAGTCAGGAACGGCATTCGACGAAGCATCAAATCCTTGAGAAAAACGAGGTATCTTGATTAGCTTGAAGCAACTTAGTAACTCAGCATAATCTGCAGGAAATTCACCAGACGACTTACAAACGACAGAAGTAAACTTACAAATGGTCTTTCTGGGAAGTAACTGATAAAATGTATCTGAGATTTAGAAAGTAAAGTATTATGATTGAGCTTTCTTCAAATTTCTTAACCTATGTTTGATAAGTAACAGGTTTTACAACATGAATTAAGACATTATTCAGCAGAATCCTGGTGCAGATTTTGAACACCTTTTGAATTTTTATTCATGTCAAGCTTTATCATCATATTATTAGGTTAAATTAAATTAATTTTAGCTGAATACACTATCAGCGAGAGAATAATCAGGAAGCCTCTGAAATTATGCCCATTTCAGATTATTTAGCATCCATGGAGAAAATGAGCTTGAAAAAAAATAATTTGATGCTCACAGTAGTTCCAAATGAATTACAAAGACGTATCCACGAACATGAAGTACAATCATGCATTAAATAACAGAATTCATTTGCTGAAATGTTCTGCCAAAGTGATGAAAGTAGATGCATATAAATCTGTTTAGTATGTTCCAAAGCATTAGCACCCGTACATTCTACATGACACTATTTTCAGATGACCTAGCCTAGTGAAACTAAATCACCATATGGTCTCCATTTGGCTTTGAAACTCAAAAGTCTAAAAAGGTCATGTGAATAAACTGGGAAAGACTGATCTATCATTAGCTTGTCCAGTTCCTAAGTGTTTCCGTAATAGTGACAACACTATGGATTTTGCTCCATAAACTAGCTAACCATCCAGATTGGAAGTTACATTGAATTCTAGTAATAAGTCGGTGCATTAATCTCGCATACATGGGAATAATACTTTTGGGCTACAACCAGCTGCCAGGCAATTACTTCAGGTAGTCTGAGACATGACATATCTTATCCTGTTTCTCTTTTCTTCAATAAATTAGTAGTACCTGACTCAATGGATACTTTTCTAAAATCGTCTAAAATCGACCCACTTCTCCACACTGGTTCGTCTCAGTTTGTTATAATTTCATTTGCGAATTCGTTATTGACACACTGATCATCTTCACTACTAGACCTGTCTTTATTTGTTAAAAAAACTGTCAGCTACTTTATCAGACAGAGAGGAAAGATCGAGTAGGGGAACAGTAACTTATTTCCCATCAATTCCTAACTCAGTCAAATTAAGTTAATAATCAGACGTAAAACAAAGATTTCAGTGAAGAAGATTTCTCTTTGTGATGATTTTATCTCCGAAAGCTGTACCGTCTTTGTTATGTATAACTTGGGGTAGACAATAACAAATTTTTTATCATTTGACTGTCTGAGATAGCCGTAGTCTGGCAAACTAGTATTTATACTGGGTGATGATTGAAGGTGAAATGAAAGTTTGAACGGCGGACGGATTCAAACCAGCCACCACAAAGTTTCCGGCCCGATGCTGTACCAACTGAGCTACGAGGTTCGACTGCTGACCAGTGAAATAAAAATCTCGTTCAGTCATCACCCAGTATAAATAACAAATTTGTTTGTGTGTGAATTTCATTTTTACAATAAGTGGGATCATCAAATCACTTGTAAAAATACACGAGACTAAATGTTAAAGATCCGAGATAAGAGATGAATGAGGTGAATGAATCTAATGTGATTTCATATAAAAGCAGCTAAGTGAAGATTATGTGGAACGATAAATGTGAATATCAGTCAGACAAAGTGAGATCTTATAGGGATCAAGAGAAACGAAAATGTTTCGACGAAATAAAATGGATTGGAATGGAATAAAAATAAGGAAGAGCTGGTTGTATGAAACACGTGGTCAAGACGGTAAGTTAGGTCAAGGTTTAAGATTATGTTTCACCAAGGCCTCTACGATACAAAGTAGGTGCGTGCATGAACCTTTCGACAAGTTTGAATTGACCCTGTAAACAATATCAGTGATGATTTGGATCCTGAATGCATATTGTCAACTACACATCGTAGAATCAATGAATTTATGCTTCTACACCCCCCTTTACTCATCCATACTAGGAGGTGTTATCGAACGCGATGAGAAATGTTTCTCGATGAACTTCCTACGTAACTAGCTTTACTAGAGTAGGTGAACGTGTAGAAACACATTCAATTAGACAATCTAGATAACATTTCTTTGACACTAAGATAGACCAAAGGGTGGCTGGAATGGGTTACTCCAAAGAGGTACGGCTTGGAAAAATTTTCCTATTGATCTTGTTCTACTGTTATTGAGAATTTTGTCTGAAAAATCAGATCTAATTTCCAAATTAATACAGAACTTTTTTCTTGGCATAGTGGTTATATCTAAATGCTTCTTGATCTGCCTACGCATACACTCCATAAAACGTGGTGGATACCCGTTTTCCAGAAAGTTTTAATTCAGTAATCTTAGCTCAATTTCTGCATCATCTTCTACGCAGATGTTTCGGAGGCGTGATAAGAGAGAACAAACTAAATTTCTTTTTCTTTCTATGGGAACCAATCTATAGAAAGTTGTTAGTTGGAATTTCAAATTGCTTTTTTG